TTTATTAATAAAAAAAATTATTTCTATAATGCCTGTCCATATGATAAGATGATTAGAAGTACTTTTGATATTTTCCATGCTTGTATCTAGTGAAAAGTAGAGAAAATAAAGGGAAGATAAAAATGTTAAGAAAGCGATTCTCAACTATTATGTTTTCATTGTTCTTCCAGATGTTTTTTCAAAATGTAAGAAACTGTGTGTTACTACCATGGAGACATTTTTCATTTTATCACATTTTTCTGGAATCTTTTAGAATCGTGGGTCTATAAATTTACCTTAAAATCTTTCTAAACTGTCCAAGCTTCAATGTCTAAAATCCTAAAGAAAAATTACCCCTGCCAATTCTGTAACAGCAAAAAGACAGAAATGTTTTTTAAAAAATCGGAGGAAAAAAGTGCGAAATTAATTTTATAGAGAAAACTGATGCATTTTCTGAGAATTCTGATCATTCTGAGAAATGGGAAAAATTCTTACCATGAAAAAAATTAAAAAGACATTTTTAATTAATTACATAGCTATTTTGCTTTTGCTAAAAAATGTTTTGTAAACTGTGGTAAATAGCATTATTCCTTGCTTATTTTTCATATTCAATATATTGTATAATATGTGACCTAAATGGAACTTTATAATATAATAGTGAAAAATAAAAATGCTTTATTTTAATGTTATTTCTTAAATATAATTCCAATATTTACCATTATTTTAATGAAATTTATCAACATTAGAATGTTCTAAAAAAATCGTCAAAAAATTCCCAGATATCGGAATTAAACCAGATTTTTTAAACAAAAATTTTCTATAGAAACCGATTTTAAAATTGCCAAAATGTTGATAATCGCCAAATTTAGAACTGTTTAATAAAAGAATTCACATCCTCAAAAGCGGAAAGTTGTTTAAGAGCTCTTCATTACAAAAAATGAAAAAATTTTGAAATGCTTATGTTTAACTTCTTGCTCAGAAACTCGAGTATCCCACCATTATTTATATTACAAATAGGAACAAATTATAACTCATGAACCCATTCAAAAAACAGCCATATTTGTCAGTGAATCGCCAAAAATATTCCTGCAAAAATGCTAATTCACACACAAAATGGCAGTCATAAAAACAGACAGAAATTTCAGATGATTAAAATTAAGGACCTTCTGCCAATTTTGGCCAAAATTAAGGACTTTTAAGGACGAAAATCGATTCCAAAAAACTTAAGGACTCTTAAGGACCATACGAACCCTGGTCTACACCTCCCGTGGTACTGTTCACCATCTCACGGCAATTGTTTTGAGGCGGGGTTACGCTCACTGAGACCTCTAGGATGTTTGCTACCCCAAAACATCAGTGGAGTTGTCTGGAGTAGTGTCGCAGCCAATCATCATGGCTGCCATCGTACAGCGTTTACCGATGAATCCAGCTTCACTCTTGAAGCATAAGACCACCATGTTCGTGTCTGGAGAGGATGGGGCCAGCAGTCCTAATCAGCCTTTGTTTTACAAAGTCATACAGCCAGTAACCTCTGGTGTGGGGCACTATTTCTTATGACAGTAGGTCATCTTTAGTCATCCTCCGTATATCTTTAGCATCTCAATCATATATTGATACCATCCTGCGGCCGGTTGCATTACCCTTCATGGCACGTCATCCTGGGGTCATTTTCCAACAAGATAATGCCAGGACACATACTGCTCACATATCTCTGGACTGTCTCCATGCGGTGATACTCTTCCTTGGCCAGCAAGGTTATCAGACCTTTCACCAATCGAGCATGTCTCGGACATGGTATGCTGCCAGATTCAGGGACCATAAAATATCACAGATCTTGAGCGACAACTGATGACTGCCTGGCAGAATGTATCGCAGGATGACATTAGGAACCTCTACCACTCCTTGCCTCGACGAATTTAAACATGCATTGTCACCAGCGGAAGTTCGACAAACTACTAATTTGAACACTCAATGGGTGATTGTGAGCTGTGAACAGGTACTATGACCTTGATTTTTTAATCATTTTATTACCTGTGTATGGAGGTATACACATATACAATTTCGTCAAAAACAACCATTTCCTTCATGGTGGTTTTTTTTTTTTTTTTTTTTTTTTTTTGGCAAAAGAGTGTATTTTACTTACCATTTAATATTCTGAGATTAATTTTATTTAAAGTTTTTAATATTTATCTCATTATTACCTGTGTATGGAGGTATACACATATTCAATTTCGTCAAAAACAACCACTTCCTTCATGGTGCTTCATCTTTTTTTTTTTTCGAAAGAGTGTATTTTACTTACCATTTAATATTCTGAGATTAATTTTATTTAAAGTTTTTAATATTTATCCCATTTTTCTTTTTCTTCCTCCCCCCATTTCTCAAATACAGAGAATTAAACTCTTCCATTTGGATAATAAGTTGTTTTTCAACAATTAAACAAATTATGCAAGTTCTAAAACTGTAAGTTATGCATAGTCATCTAGCATGAAACTCTGTTGTCATTGATAGTGATATACACAGTTCAAATGAAGTGCCCCCAAAGTGGTTTTTCTTCAAAAAATACAAATTAGGCATGCAGTATAAGTGACTTGTTCCCAATCTAGGTATTAAAATGCTTAACCTTTTTTGGGGGTGGGGTGGGGGAAGGAGTAACCTTGTTAGCATGGATTTTGTAATACATATGCATTGTCATAACAAAGGAATATGTTTTAAAGATTCTCAATGCAGACAGAAAACTAGAGGCAAGACAACCAGCATAAAATTTTAAACTTTTATTTGACGTTGCATTATTGGTACATAATCATACTATACCCGAAATCATATTCAATAGCTGATAAACACCATATAGGAAAGTTGATATCTACCAGTATTATGAAGCAAAGACTAAATACCAAATGATTCTAAATTACAGTACCATCATTGTTTACATAGCATCATCAGCATGTAACTCAAAAGTGCAATAACAGCACTCAAATCAGTCAAAATTTGCCTTAGAATCATACAATAAATGTTTAAAAATCAGCAGAGAATGAGAAACATGCAAACAGTTCCTAATATCCTTTAATATTATTTAGGCAGAAGTCCACAATAACCATAAACATGCAGCCAATCTATAATATTATTCTGTACACTTACACCATGTAATAATATACAATGGTTTTTAAGTTCTTTAACCATTTACAAGAGCATCCTGCAGTACTGGATATAGATTTTTCATTTCATTCATGGTACACAGCATGCACAGCTGATAGTCAAGTTTCACAAAAGAGAAAATATTCCTAAATTCAATAGCCATTCGCTCTAGTTCAATCTCATAAAACTCAAAAGTGCTCTTGGAAGTCTCTGCCTATCAGGCCCTTCCAGAGTTATTCCAGCCCTTCCTTCTGAGAGTTGTGAACTGCTCCTTGAAAGTTCAGTCAAGTGAGCTGTTCCGACTCACTTGACTGAACAGAAGAAACACTGATACGAAGCCTGTTTCAAAGATAGTCACACTACATATTAAGGATTATTTGTTTTGCTTGAACAGTATACAAATTCCCCATATCCCAAATGTTTTGCTCATGAATTAAACACTTTAAGGGTTAAAACTACATTTTATTAAAGAATAAAATAGTTCAGAAAAGGAAAGCAGTAAAAACAAGAGCTATTCCTATGCACAGTGCAGTTATTGTTTAAAAAACACTACATATTTAGCCGACTTTATTAATTTGGAAACTGACATTTAAGAAGAACTGCTGACAGTTTCTAACATTTTTTAACCATCATTATCCCATCCTATATATATATATATATATGTATATTCCAGCTGACACTCAAAATAATCATTGAACAACCATCTTCTTCACAATGAATTTAGCCCATAGATATCATTAAATTCTAGTTAATTCTAATCCCAGTTCCAAAAATTACTTCCCACCGATTTACATACATAGTTAATGTTTTGGGATCATAACATTTGACACTGAATTTTCAATGAATAAGTATGAAATAGGATCCCCATAAAATGTTTTCATTACATTTACAATGACGTCCGTCTTTCTGTGTGTCTGTATGTGACAATTGTTCCGTCTATGATAACTTGTACATCAAACTTCCACACATTTCTATTTTACATATTTAAGCTTTCTGCATTCATGTAAAAAATTGAATAGATTTTGGATAAAATTGGACAGCTGAAAACGATACTTTATTTGAAGCCCACAGCAGTTTTTAATGGACAACTGGAAATGGTAACTGAAGCCCATAACAGTTTTTAAAGTAAAACTATATTATAATATAATCCAAGACTTTTTAGATTTTGGCCCAAATTGATAATATGGAAATGATAATTTGCTTGAAGCTCTGAACAGATTTTCGTGAAAAAATATATTGTTGTAATCCAAAACTTCTCAGATTTGGTATTTAAAACTTCTGTACACATACACAATCATCATTGAGAACAACATATTAGACTGCAGAGGTAGTACTTTATACAAAACTTTAACATTCTCAACTCTAATCTCATTTAATCTCATTCAAAACCAGTTTTGGAATCCCAGACTCTAACCCTGTTTTCAACACATAAAAGTTTTTATGAGCACAGACACTTTACTCACAAACCTCTTTTTTTTTAATATGGCAGTTATTGTCATTTGTTACTCTAAATTACTACATTGAGAAGGGATGACTATGTTGAAAGTCATCAAAGATCAGCCAAAAATACAGATGCAATCTTATACCTGAGGCAATTTTACCAAAGCAATACAATAATAACAAAATATAAAACATTTCAAAACATAAATATAACACACTATTTTCTACATACCCAAAGAGTATTTCTGAATTTAGTCAGATTTATGTCATTAAAAAATTCTTCACCATGCAATAAATTATAATAAAAATACTGCTATGTAATTATATATTTCATTATCCACACTTACAATAATTGTCATATAAAAGCTTCAGACAAACAGTTCTATTATATAATGAACAATCTGTGATGAGAGTTAAGTGCACACTGTTATAAAAGAAATACATACCTTTATTTACAGGAACAATGTAATATGAAAAAGGAGAGCATTGAGGGGAAAATTCTTTGTCCTTGACAAGCCACAATGCATCAGAGAAAATGAATTTATGGAATTCTTCTAATTTCTTTAGCTCCTCATCAACTAAGATAATTGAAGTTTTTAATGCATGAATTTTAACCAAGATTCTTCCAAATTTAGTAAAAATTGGAAATGGATTAACCTAAAAAAATAATTAAATTAATGAACCTGAAACATTTTAATAGCAATTTTTAGCTTAAAACTAGAACAAGGATTATTTAACTTATTTCTCCCTTTACTTATAAGTTACTTTCTTAAAAAAAAAATTCTAAAATAATTTTTATTAGATTAAGAGAGCGGCACATTTTCAAACAGAAATCTAATACAGGATACAAGAGAAAGCCCTTTTTGTAACAGTTTTCTTACACTATAGAAAATAGCCTGTTGTAAAATATTAACACTTTTTGACATATATTAGTTTATAATTTTTCACCAAATATACCTCTTATAAAACATAGCTTTTCCTCTACTTATGAGGATTTTGTTAAGTAAGTAGTGATTTAAGAGTTGTCTAGTTGCTCTGAAGAAGAGAAAGAAAGAAAAAAAAAAAAAAATCTCTCAAACCATTTTGAAAGTTTGAACCAATATGAAAAAAGCCTCTCTGTAAGGTGTCAGAGAAATGACAATTACACATGTTTATGGAATTTTCCATAACAACAGTTAATTCTTGACTTCATTCATCATTCAAGAACATAAAACACAGCTAATTCCACTCTCTTATGATTCAGAATATCGATTGTTGATGTACGGCATAGCATATTTCTCCAAATTCACCACCATTCTCAGACTATTTTTATTATAATACCAAATCATTATCCTATCATCCCAAAATAATTATTAAACAACCATCTTCTTCATGTTGATTTTAGTACATAGATATCAAATTCTAGTTCATCCTGATCCCAGTTCCAAAAACTACTATACGGTCAACTTTTTACTTCTCACCAATCTACAAACTTTAAAACATTGCTATATAGAATACTTAAACTTTCTGCATTAAAGTAGAGAATTGATTAGATTTTGGGTAAAATTGGACAACCGGAAGCAATATTTTATTTGAAATCCATAACAGTTTTTAATGAAAAACTAATATATTATAATATAATGCAAAATTTTTAAATTTTAGTATTAAACCTTTTTTTAGACTGTGGCTAAAATTAATAACATGGAAGTAATACTTTGCTTGAATCTCTGGCCAGGTTTTTGTAAAACAAATATATTAACATAATCTAAAACATCTCAGATTTGGTATTCAAAATTTGTGTATGCACATATGATGCACATACTATCATCACTGAGAACAACATATTACATTTTAACTACATATGATAAAGTGAAAGTGGCACTTTATTAAGAACTCTTTATAGATTTTTGTAAAAAAATACACGATCACTATAATAAGAGTTTAATCTAAAATAATGCAACACATATTATGGCTATTTTCTTTATACCTAGGTATGGTATTTATTTATAAAAATACTTGTTATTCTCTTGCATTGTTGATTATGATGAGGCACAACAACAAACAGCATACTCAAAAACACCGACTGCCTAACATTTTACTGATCCCCAAAGGTGCAGTAGTTACTATTTATTTGTAATTTCAAAAACTAATAAGAACTGCTCATTGATACCTAAATACGCTACAGATATATGTGCAGATGAAAATGAGTTTGGATTTGTTGATACAGTACAAAGTACGAGAACCGGATGTCCAATATCTGGAATGATCTAACATCCAGACCTCAAAGCCACAAACAACTTTTTTTTTACGCATGTGCATTTGATTTTTTCCTCCCATAATAAAACATGCGAAGAGTCACGATTCTTAATTTCACTGAGGCATTAAATAAAATACCTCATTGTTGAAGAAACAATCATTTTAGTATAAATTTGTAAGATCAATAATTTGGCTCCATAGCTGCATATCTGCTTGGCATACATCTCAAATCGAAACATTCTACATAAGAACATCGGTGATTTTACACCTACTAATATTTTATATCCCTGACAACCAACCTGGTGAATTATTATATTTTGCTTTTTCTATCACCGCATGCTTATGCTTTTTTTATGCCTTTCCTGCTGACATTATGCTTGGCGATGTTTATAGATTTAAATTAAATGTGCTAAGAAATGTTGACGAGCAAATTTACAAAAATTTCTTTTGATATCCCAAAAATAAATTTTGTTAATGAAACTCATAGGCCAAAAGACTACATTTAGTGCTATTTGAATTAAGAATAATTGATATGTTATTCACATAAACTCAGAACCGGCATCAGAGCTCATATGGCCATACAGGGCAGCAGAGTTTAGGGATGAAAAACTTTTGGAATTTAGAGAAGCGCAAAGCATAAAATTTAAGGGATGACAAAATTTTTATAATTTTGGGAAAGCACTGGGGTTTCAAAATTTAGGGGCGGCAAAAGTTTAGAACTTAGTAGTGGCATAGCTAGGGTTCCAGCGTCTGGGGACAACTGAAGAATTTGTGCCGCTTTCTGTGTGCCAAGAGTGGAAAACATTTCATTAAAAAATTTCACAGCATCAATTTGGCACCGCCTGCATGCTGCAGCCGGGGACAGATGTTCTCCCTTGCCCCACCCTAGCTATGCCACTAGAACTTGGGGAGATGCTTTGTAGCAGAATTTAGGACCCACAGAGACTGCATCAGGCGGTATTCAGCCTCGGTGCTCAGTAAGCCCTAAGTATAATGAGTTTATTATTCAGAACTCAGATTAGCCTTAAGCGTGCGCAAGAAATAGATGTAGATATAATAAATAACTAATACAATTCAGGCTTAATTTTTCTAAATATGCGACAGAAGTAAGACAAAATTTAGCAGAACAACTTGTCTTTCGTCGCCCATCTCATGGTACATAGCCAATAATGTAAAGCGGACACTATTAAGCTAGGCTAAAATATACTTCTTTGATTCTTGGGAATTTTAGTAAATACAGCAGATTGCACTGTTCCTGAATCTTCGAAATTGATCCAGCTTATTATATTTTGCAGACTGTTATTATTACAGCAATTTTATAAAAATTAAAGCTTGAACTTTCCAATTATGTTGAAAAGAGTTTCTAATTCAGCAAGATCTACAAAGCGAAAGCATGTTTTAATGTCCATTAAACAAAAAGTGGGTTTGCTGCAAAAAATGGATAAAGGCTTATCCGTCTCAAAATTACGTGATGAGTATGGCATTGGAAATTCAACTGTATATGACATAAGAAAAAAGAAACTTTTTGAATTTTTTGTGGATTCCGACGCCTCACTTGCAAGGAATAATAGAAAAATTGTTAGTATGCTAGAAGTGACGATCATGACAAAGTGATGATTGAATGGGTACTGAATGATTGACAAAGTGGATAGTGAATGGGTATGATGTATATTTTAGCCTACCTTAATAGCGCCACAGCAAGGGTATGCCATTGACGGGACCAATGCTAATGATTCAAGTCAAAATATTTCATAAAGAAATGAATTTAAAAATTGAGTGCACATATTTGACAGGTTGGCTATCGAAATTTAAAAATTGCCATGGTATAAGGCAATTAGAAATTTCAGGTGAAAAAGACTTCAGCTAATACTGAAGCTGCTTAACTATTTACAAATGAATTCATTGAACTCATTACTAGTGAAAAATTATCCCCAGAACAGATTTACAGTGCTGATGAAACTGGTATTTTCTGGCAATATGTACTGCGAAATACCTTGGCAACCTTTACAGAAAAGGCTCCAACTGGTGTCAAAGATTTCAAAGCGAGACTAACAATTTTAGCATGTGCAAATGCTGCATGAACGTATGAATGCAAACTTTTCATAATCGGAAAACATAACATGATCTCCAGAATTTAAAGGGTAACAATTTTTTCTGTTATATATCGTGCAAACAAAAGAGTATGGATGACACAAGTGTTAATGAATGATTGGTTTGAAAATCATTTTATACCAGAGACTCGGTAACATTTGAATTCGGTTGGTTTAACCTCATGGCACAAATCTGATTAGTGAAAGATAATGTATCCATCCATATTCTTATCCTTTTCTCCAAATTGCACATATATCATTTAACCTGCCAATACCAATTATTAAGTATTTCAGAGTGCCAATGGTTAGAAAAATTGCATAAATATTTGGTTTGATGCAAGTTAGAGAGAGCCACATTAGCTTGAGAGAATTTAGGTATAGGAAAAAAATCGTTAAGTTTTGATTTTTTTGTAATTTTTTATGGTTTTTTTTAATTTTTATTTATTTATTTTTTGTGTTTTGTAATATTTTAAATTTATTTTTTAGTATTTTACATTTTTATAACTTATACGAAACACAAAAGCAAAAAATCAGACAGGAAAGATTTTAGAGATTAAGTGGCTCATTGGCATATGGTGCTAAATCAGAATGTAGTAAAGTTTGTGAAAACAAGAGAAAATATCCAAGGCAGAAATTAATTCTGCGGACATGATGCAAGTTGAACGAACAGATTGATAAAAGTGCAAAGAAGGCTATGTTTCAGTTGAATTTGAGTAGAACATAGCAATTTGGCATAGTCAATGAGAAATAGCAATTTTAGAAGATTGAGACGTCCAACCTTTATGGGCGGGAGCTGGAAATAAAAGGCGTGGGCATGTCTATGCCTTTTAGCAAGAGGATCATTCATTTTATGGATATAGAAATAGTGCGCATGCTGAAATGCAAATATAAAGTAGCATTTTTAAAATTCATGTTAAATTTTTTTAACAATGGCAAGACTATTCAAGAACTTTTGAAATATTTTAAGATAAAATCTGCTGTGTGGAGCATCGGAAGATCATGGGAAAATGTCTCCTTGGCATAAGATACAAACCTCGATGCCTTTTTTCACCCAGCACTCACTCACGAATACAATGTCTCTCAAGCCATCCTGGTAGCCAATGACTTTTTTACCGAGCTGGAATTGCATATTGCTGATCCTGCCTTGGGATTCTCACATGACAGAAAATTAAGCGGTCAGTCATCTTGTTACGTGGAATATTTCTACTTTCCTTCTGGTTTATTAGAGACAGGCATTCAGTTCACTTTCAGTAAACGATGAATGAAGTATACATTCAAGGTTATCCAAATTTTCACTTTTGACTGTGGGTACAAAACAGAAGCCAACCTTGAATAAACCACTATTATTATTGTTATTATACTCACACCAGTTCATCATCTATGATATTTTTCACTAGCCAAAAATTTTCAACACCATTAAATATCTTTGTATCAATCTTTTGCTTACATCTTTCCACACAGAAATTCAAGGTAAGAACAATATTCTAAGATATTGGTCAGAAAGTTGTCAATGTAACACTGGAAGTGTTATATTAATGCAGAAAGGACAATCTGTAACTGCAATTAACGAATACATTGGAATTACTCATAAACATATTTAGTTATTAATAAAAGTATGCAAACATCTTTCATCTGGAAGCTGATATGATTAAAAAATATGATTAAAAATGCAAAATAATTATTAGACAGAAAGCAGTAAAATTGTACACATGCATGCTACCTTCATTAAAATGCACGTGCAAAATGCAATGCACTTAATATTTAACATGATTTTGGAAACAAATTTTAAGTTATAGGTTTAAAAAAAAAAAGTTATTTCTGTTTTAAAATTTTCACCATAAAATACTCAAACTATTTTATTAAAGCTTATTAAAGTTTTCGTTCATCAATTGTATTTTATTAAAGTTTATCAAAGTTTTCGTTCATCAATTGTAATTCCTTATTGAACATTCCGTGATAATTCAAACTATGACCAGATTTAATGGTGCAAAGGCAGTTTTTTTAAAAAAAAGTTTTATTATGCAACTTACAGTGGTGCACTGTCCATTTTTAACAGGTAAAAATACTTGTTAGAAACCAGCTTTGCAGAAAAAGAAATTTTTTAAGAATTGTTTTACAAATAGAAATTGAACTAAAACATAAAAAATTTAAGGTCAGTTTAAAAAATAAACCTATTGAAAATATAATGAAATTGGAGGATTTTTTTATATTATTAAAAACTTTATTCTGAGAGAAGGAATCAATCAATTTATCAAAGGTAGAACTTCCAAGCTTACTGAAGGCAGTATCTTTGATGATAACAAAGCAACACCTCTTGATGTATCCTTAGGATTAAACAGTGGTCTTTTTCTTGGATTTAGACAATCTGGCAAAGGTTCAACAAGATCCATCTCAAAAATATGTAGGTAACAACAAATTGATGAAGTTGGTCTACAATCTCTCAAGAATATGGGAACCTATAATTTGTAAAAAGAAATAAAATTATCAGAGAGCAATTATTTTAAGATAAATCTCATATCTATCATTCTCTCTCTCTCTCTATATATATATATATGCACACACACATAAAGTTTGATCTAATCAAATAATGTAACCTTTCCTTCACAAACAGAAAATGAAAAGCGATTATTCCAATTATTCCAGAAGAACAAGACCGGAGATATTTGTAGTTATTCTCTCGCTATTTAATAGAGAAAGCTACTCAAAAACACTACTAATTCTGTACAAATGCTTCATTTGTCTGCTTAGTTAAAAATAAAAATAATTCTTTAAGTAGTTTCCATGACAAAATTTTACAATGCATATATGCATTCAAAAGGTACTTAGCATTTTAATTAAACTTTGTCTTTTACACAGAATTACTTTAAAACTGAAATTATGTTTACTTCATCAAAGTAAATAAAATTTTAAAAAAATTAATGAACTGATTCATATGATATAACTGCATTAAGTGTTTATTGACTAAAACTGGAATTTTCACGGCCAATCTGCTCATTTCATGAAGAAAAATCAGAATGGTATCACCTTCTCTAGTCATCCTTCCTTCACTGTTGCACTGGAATTGTTATTCGCTTAAAAATGGTAGTCTTCATATTGCTTTTATGTTTAACCTTTTTTCATATTTCCATTGCTTAATGATTTTCTGAGTTTAAAACTAATTTTATGCAAGGATTTATTAATATTTTTAACTTCAACAAGATCATGCAAACAAGCTTTAATGCATTTAATTAATGATTTAATATTTTGGTTGACATAAATTTTAGTTTGATTTTAAACTTTTGTCTTCTATAATTCTTATTATTACCTTTTAGGGATGTTGCAAGCATAACAATAAAAGGAAAACAAGAGAACATGACACACATTTTGAATTCTGGTTGATAAGAGGAAAGTTTATCCAAAACAGCTAGAATTTTACTGAATTCTCAAAATTAATCAGTTTATTTATTTTAATATTTTAGATATCCGTTGCTAATCTTTCAGATGTTTTTCTTACTTCATATAGTACAATAATGATGATGCTTATAAATTATTTACCAAAAACACTGAGTTTTTTTTCTTCTCTTTGATATTTGTACTAAACATCCCACCTATTAATATATATCATTCAGTGAAAAAATTATTACAATTTCTATCAAACTCTACAAAAAATTAAAAAAACTCAATGTACAAAATGTATATCATCTGAAGAATTACCTAATCGTTGCCATGTAAAAAAGAAATTAAACTACAAAAACAAAACATAAATAAAATCTTCAGATTTTATATTACGTCTAAAGGGTCATTTTTTTAACATTTTGTGTGTTACCTTTATTTATTAAAAATTTCTTACACACGAATGACAGTCTGTAAATTAATTTTTAACATGAATGACAATCTGTAAATTAATCATCCATTGTTAAATGTCCCAATTAGACTCATCAGAGGGTAATTAATTTAAAAAATTAAAAAATAACAATTAAGGAGTTTTAAATACATGTTTTGTCCTTTTTTACCATTTGAGTGAATTTCAACTAATATACAAACTTTTTTACAATAAAAAAAATGCATTCCAAAATACTCAAAAAACAGTCAAAAAAATTTCATATGTACATTCCTTCAAATAAAAACACAGACTAGAATTAAAGTTCAGTGTCTCTATGATATTATATTTAGAGTTTAACAATCAACCTGACTGCAAGTTATTTATAGGTTGCTCCCCCCCCCCCAAAAAAAAAGAAAGGAAGAGAAAAGGAAATATTTATAAAATAGTGACATCAATTTACATTTAAATAACATAAATTACATTTAAATACATAAGAATTTCATCATAATGAACTTCAAAGGATAGATTGCAATGTTTTTCCAAGGCAAAACTTTGTGCAAATAATTTTTTGACCTAAGGCTATCAGAAGGCTCTTGTAGGATATGGCACATCCTACAAGAGCTCCATTTTTAACAATCCCTTTTTAAAATTACTTGAAAAACAATCACAGCTGATTTTTTTTACTATTACATATTTCTAGATGCATAAATTCTTGTATGTTTTTTTAAGAAAATTGTGAATTTGAGGTAGGAAGACCTTTCTTGTAAGCAGAAGACTTTTTGAGTCTGATACTATATTACACAAGAGATAAATCATGAAAACTAATCGGTCAATTCTTTATTACATTACAAAGTCCGAGATACAGACTCAGTGGGACCACGGAAATTTCAGATTTGGGATTTTTCCGGATATTAAATCATCAGTTTAAAACTTGTAAGATGGCATGTAGAAATTATAAAATTAAAAATATGAAATCATGATTTATGAAATAATGAAGCATTTGTCATCTAAAGGGTAAAAAAATGTACAAAAAAAAAGGTTAATATTTATTTGTTTACTTTATTAAACATTTCTTTCAATGTAAGTTGCTAAAACTTTTTTTATTCTATACAGACATAATTTCTTATTTAGTTACAAAGTTCCATTGTTGAAGTCATGTACTTGCTATGTCAAGATTTCAGACTAACTTGTCAATCGAAATTTTTTCATTTTTAATAACTTCTCTGTCACTTTCTTCACCATTAGTAGCGGTATTTTCAGTATCTAGAACCGTACTACAGATTTTGCTGTCCGTTAAGTTTTTGATAATTGGGGCATTGTCATCGCAATTAAAAACTTCTGTTTCGTCATCTTCATTTATTACCACTTCTCCACATTTCTTTAAAAAATCCATTAATTGGAAAATTTAACCTTCGGTTTGCGATATGCGAAATCCTAAACATTTGGGCTATTATCTTCATCATCCTCACCATGAAATACGATAACTGGCCATAAATTATGCCAAACATTTTTTTAAAGTATTTGGAGACACATCCTCCCATGATCTTGCGATGCTCCACAAAGCAGATTTTATGCAAAAATATTTACAAAATTCTTGAATAGCCTTGCCATTAATCAAGAAATTTTAACATGGCTTTTAAAAATTACATTTGCATTTCAGCGCACACATTATTCTGATATTCATAGGCTGAATGAAGGAAGTGCAATTTGGAGGAAAGAATAATCCGGATACATTATCATACAATTATAATTTGTAAAAAGAAATAAAATTATCAAAGAGCAATTATTTTAAGATAAATCTCTTATCTATCAATCTCTCTCTCTCTCTCTATATATATATATATGCACACACACATAAAGTTTGATCTAATCAAATAATGTAACCTTTCCTTCACAAACAGAAAATGAAAAGCGATTATTCCAATTATTCCAGAAGAACAAGACCGGAGATATTTGTAGTTATTCTCTCGCTATTTAATAGAGAAAGCTACTCAAAAACACTACTAATTCTGTACAAATGCTTCATTTGTCTGCTTAGTTAATTTTAAGTGAAGTATGAGTCGAACAGTTGCCTACAATCAGGACAATTTTTGCATCAACAAGTAAGCCAACCAAATTCTGCCAAGCCTCGGGTATGAAATGTTTTTCAAACCAACCATTCATTAACACTTTTGTCATCCATGTTTTCTTATTTGCACGATTTCTTATGGGAAACTCTTTACTCCTTGAAATGTTTGAGGTCGTGTATTTTTTCTGACTACGAAAAGTTTACACTTGTGTGTTCCTGCAGTATTTGTGCATGCTAAAATTGTTAGTCTCGCTTTGGAATCTTAGGCACGAATTGGAGCTTTTCCCATAGAGGTTGCCAAGGTATTTTGTGGTACATGTTGCCAGAAAAGACCAGTTTGATCAGCATAGTAAATTTCTTCTGAAGATAACTTTTCACTATTAATGAGTTCAATGAATTCATCTGCGAATAGTTCAGCAGCTTCAGTATCAGCTGAAGATATTTCACATGAATTTCTTATTGCTTTAGACTATGGCAAGTTTTAAATTTGGTTAACCAACCTGTCAAATATATGCCCTCCATTTTTAAGTTCATTTCTTAGTGAAATATTGGGCCATTAGCATTTGACCCATCAATGCTGTCTGTGATGCTTCACTGCGATGCTGTCTGACCTATTCAGTGATCATTTTGTCATGATCTTCACTTTTAGCATAACGAATAATTTTACTGTTATTCATTGTGAGTGGGATATCAAAATCCCCCAAAAATTCAAGTTCCTTTTTCTGTTTTCTTATGTCATATACAGTTGACTTTCCAGTACCATACTCCTCGCATAATGTTGAGATAGATATGCATTTATCCATTTTTTGCAGCAATTCACACTTTTTGTTTTATGGACATCAAAATATGCTTTTGCTCTGTAGATCTTGTTACAGCTCCATAATTAGAAAATGGTTTTCAACATAATCAAAAGTCAAAACTAATTTTCATAAAATTGCTGTAATAAAAACAGCCTGCAAAAAATAATTAAGCTGGATCAAATCAAAAAGTTAAGGAATATCGCAATATGCTATACTGACTGAAATTCCTTGGAATTATTAAAGTATAACTTTAGTCTAGCTTAATTGTGTCCACTACACATTAATGGCCATGTAGTGTGAGATTGGCAACGAAACACAAGTTGTTTTGCTAAATTTTGTCTTGGTTCTATTGCACACTGAGACAATTAAGCCTCATTGTATTAGTTTAGTTATTTATTATATTTACGTCTATTTATTGCACAGGGTTATGGCTTATCAAAGGCTACAGTTAGATATCTTGCTGCCTGATGCACACTGTGCGGGTCCTAAATTCTGCTACCAATCACCTCCCTAAGTTCTAAATTTTTGCCACCCCTGTTAGGTATTTCCTGCACCATTCAGCTAGAGGGCACTGTGATTTTCCAATAGCCAGTGGCGGGCGGATACGTATATGTTTCAATAGTTAGTGGCAGGCTGGATTCTAAGGGTGTAGTACGTGGAAGGCAGAGATGCCTAATAATGTACACTGCTAAAAAAAAAAAATGGGACAGTGCTATATCTCCCGTTCTACTGGGCCGATTGACAAAATTCAAATTGCGTTTTTCATGTCTCGAAAACGCGACTTAG